GATGACCGGCTGGAGAGCCTCCACGGCGGCGAAGCCAGCGCGTGGAGTCTCCAGCCGGAACGACCAACGAGCCATCGTGGCTCGGCGAGCGGCTTCGCGCCACTCGCGCACATCCTCGGGCGGAGGGCGAAATCCACTCTCCGCCCGGGAGTCAGCCACTCGCCGATAAACTTCGGCGAGCACTTCCGCCTCCAAATCCCACCGGGGAGTTCCGGCCAACGCGCACGCCACCTCCGTCGACACGGTGCGGTAACCGCGTATGGCTCTGACCGCCATTACCCTCTGAGGGCCTATGTCCAGCAGTGGACTGTTATAGGCTGTTGATGATGATGATGAAGAATTAATAATGTATTATTTAAAATAGCTTCGTACATAATCTATTATTTTTTTGTAATATTTAAAAGAGAAAAATTTTGATATAGACATTTACCATCACGGACTTTTTTGTAGATCTTTTTAAGATATATAATTCCGTCGTACATTATTTTGGTCTATGTCGTGAGGTTTAGCCAGCGTTTGCAATGTAAGCGCACACAAAAATGTTTTTTACAACAAATCTTCGAAATTCTCGGATTTTCTCTACTATAATATGCATGTATTATACATATAAACCTTCTTCTGAAATCACTCTCTCTCTCTCTCTATTGGTGAAAACCGCATCAAAATCCGTTGCTTAGCTTGAAAGATCTAAGCGTACAAAACAAAAAAGCGACTTTATTTTATACTATGTAAAGATGTATAATGTTAATATAAATAGTAGTTCTGATTGAGTCCAAATATGATATTGATGTGCATAGCGAGAAACAGAACTACATTTACATACTATAAGACACCGACTTTTGTTACAACAAGATCAAGAATATGTTGAGTATTTTTATAAGCTATTGTTTAGAAAACATAATACAATTGAAATATTGAGAAGAATGTGTTCAGTATGACCATTTTCATAATCATCAAAATCATCATTTGATTGACTATTTCTGAAGAGATATCTAAACGGGTATAGGTATTTGTGCTAACAAGCCAATGGACATGCAAAGCATAAAAAGGCAAATGAGAGACGGCAATGATATCAGTGGGATAACACCGGATATGTGCGGATGTGAAAGCGATAAGAGCTCACAGCTGTCAAGCTGTGTTTTTTTTGTTATTCAGCTTAGACGTAAAAGATGGATACTTCGAAAATCCGAAGCATTTTTGAATACGAGTTCCAACGCGGAACTAACGCGCCAGAAACGGCTCGCAATATCAACGCTGCGTTTTGAGAGGAGACTGCTAATGAACGCACCGTGCGATTTTTGGTTTAAACGCTTTCGTAATGGAATCTTCGACTTGAAGAACGAACCACGAGTAAATTTAATATTAGTAAATTTAACACAAGTTGTATACCTTTTCTTTGGCTGTCATATATTTGGTACAGCTCACAATACCAGTGTCAGTGGCCTTTTTGCAATGTCACCTTATTATCTCAATAGCATAAATAGTTATAATTTTACATTTTATAGTTGTATTTACACTAAAACGGTTAATCGGGTTAATCGCCGAACGTAAATAAATCTGTTTGTACAGTATACGCGAAACACGCAAGCTATTATTTGAGTCATGTTGATATGATAGTAAAACATCCCATAATCAAACGCAATAATGGCTTTTGTGCTTATAACTTGTAGTAGGTATATATATATATATATATATATCATTGGTGTCTGACTTCTTTATCTTACCTATATATATTTAAGAAAAATAAGATTTGGATTTGCAAATGTTCTTTTTTTATAGTAAAGGGCGCTAAAGAGCAGACGGGGCACTTGATGATAAGTGATTGTCGCTGCTCATGTTCACGTGCAACTCAGAAGACACAAGTGCGTAGCCGCCCATTGTGTGCCCTTCCATCTCCTCGTAACCTTATCCACTTGGCAAAAAGCAAAGAAAGAATTCCTTAACACTGGTATTCTGTGAGTCCGTCCGTATGGTATTACTCCCATCGAGCCGGCATATATTGAAAACATCATGGCGGTCCCTTTCTACAAGTTATGAAATGATCAATTATGCTCACATTTACCATTTATCTCTCAATGTAGCAATTACAATTTGGTAAACACGAAATATGCGCTATATTACTTACTAACATATTTGGCGTCTTTAACGCGCGACTAAATATCTAAGATGGATAAACTCAATTATGTCATTCTCACTTGTTTTAGGTAAAATTACAGATATTACTTTTGCCTGTACGTCTTTTTTTATATGGGACTAGTCCTTCCCACACTCCTGCCACTGTAGCTCCTGTACACCAGGATCAACATGAACACATCAAGTTATGACACTCGGGAAGTACCAGGAAAAAAATAAACTGTCTTGGTACCCACAACGAAATTAATCAGAAGAAAATTAGAGGAGTTGAACATACTCGTATAATAAATCCACTTCCTTCCTTAGCAAGGCGGGCAACAAAATGAATTAAAAAAGGCATACAACTTTTAAAAAAGGGAAGCACCACGATCATAAAATATTATGGGTCCTAAATGAGCTATTTCTGATTTTTATAATATGTATGGCAGAATCGCCTAAACGAAATTCAACGAAATTCACCCTAGTTGACACAAGATCCCTATAGTATACCGCCCCAGATGTCACCTGCAAGCTGTTCAGCATTATATTACGTTCAATATACCAAAGACTACATTCCCAGAGGATATGATGAGCAGATTGTTCACAGTTAGGTGTTAGGTGTTGAGCATTAACACAATGGCGACTCGACAAATTTAAATGAATACAGTTTGCTCTTAGTTACCATGAACTGTAAGAAATTGAGCGACACAATGATCCACCTCAAGCCATGTCCTCGACAACCGTTCGCGAACGGATGGATAGAACTGGTAAAGGTTGCGTCTCTTAGATGATTAATCCCAGCGTTGTTGCTATTCGTCTATGAGGTCATTATAGACATCGGACTGCTATTGAAGAAATCTTGTAATTTTATAGAAAAATTGCATTCCAAGTCTTGTTGTGTTGAATAGTACATGGCTGCTCTGCACCTCGAGATCGACCGGAAGCACACCCGCCAACACCGGCAAAGCCTCAGTGCTAACCGTCCTATATGCCTCGCACAAGAATATCAGTGCAAGTCGTTGGCCTTGTAACAGTTTGCGACGGACAGCGCCTATGGTTGCCCTATCGCCCCACATAGGTGCACCATCGCACATAGGACCTAAATAAGTAGGTCCGTATATGATCTTTACTGTATTAAATGATAGATCCCATGTGGCAGTTGATATCCTTGTCAATGCACAGAAACTCTTTTTAGACTTTTCATTAACAATCATAATATGTTCGATAAATGAAAAGTTTCTTTCTATAACTAATCCTAAATAACACACTGAGGTTTTATTTTTTACAGTGACATTGTCAAATTTAATGCTTGGCGGTGATTCGAGGTTACCATCACTAGAGAAGCAAACCTCATTATCACACGTCGAAAAAAGTGTAACCACTTTTGAACTTTGACGACGTAGCTTTGATACCACTAAACATTTGAAAGTAAACATATTTATGTCTCATTTACACGCGAGACAAGAACAATACCATCGGTCGGATTAGACAAAGACATAACTTTACGATGGTGGGCCAGTGTTGACTACCGTATGAAATTTTACCCATAACAACCAAGAAACAAATTTTTTTTAAAACAATTTTGTAATAAAATAAATTAATTTAAATATTTTAAATAATATATTTCGAATTGAATGGAATAGGTATAAATAATAAAATAACTGGAAATATTTGGTTAAAAGGGTTTATATTCAGTGTACGAGTAAAATCAAACTCCGCTTTGAAGCATCAGTTTTGTATACAATTGTCTTTTAGACTCTTTTTAATAAGTTTGTGTGGATATTTTACTTTCATGATACAATCTTATTTTTACGTATGTATAAATAATGGCATTTAATAATAAAAGTGAATGATCAACTTGTACTGATAATAAATAATAACCAAGGGTGTATTGCAAATTCTTTTAATATTTTAAAATACAAATAAAAAAAATAATATACGTATATATTTTTTTCTTTTTTTCCATATAATTTTTTAATTTTTTATATTTTTTATTTATTTATATTTATTTACTTTTTTATTTTATATTTTTTATTTATTTATATTTATTTACTTTTTTATTTTATATTTTTTTTTGTAGAATTATTATTTAAAATTGATAATTAATTAAGAAAAACAATGAATTAATTCTTTTGTACAAAAGTCTCCAGCACTGCGAGCTTATCAGAAGGTGAACGTTCAACGGGTCCCTAAAAAAGTGATCGGTCCAGCCCTAACAACTACCGTTCTTCCTATATTTTATTATTATTGGCAAAATGTTTAAAAACAGTATAAAGCATATAAATTCATAAATTATAAATTCTCCCATTAATGTGGGAAAACCAAAATGATTTTTTAATGGTAACACTGATTCTAAATTACAATTATCAATGTTTTATTTCAATTATAGCCTTATTTACGATATTATCAATACAAAAACCATAAACTTACACGTGAAAAGTAATTCCGCATGATTTATTATGGTTTTGTGACCTTGAATCGCATTCTTTCACTACGCATTTACCCATTTTGGCGATTGTTACTGTCATGTGTCGCTATGTTCAACTCGGTTGACGCCACATTGAACACTGAATTGACGTTTGCTACGCATATGGCTGTGGATAGATGTGCAGTAGCAACGATTTTAGGCGGTAATTACTCATCTATGTAAGTATTAATGGAGGTTACCTTCTAAAAGTAGCTACTACTACGTTCACCCCAATGAGATATCAAGTTCAATAGATGTTTGAACTTGATATCTCATTGGGGTGAACGTAATCGCTTAACTTTTGCACCCAAAAAAACCTTCCAGCTACTTTATATGTACATGTCTTGTAACAAGTACTAAAGTAATCCCTTGTATTAAAAACGGCGTCCCATCAATACTAATTACAGAAACTATATCTTACCTGATCCCACATTCCATGAATAGCAATACAAATCCGTAGAGCATACACCTAGCTGCGTATGCTCTCACTATGACTCGTAAAAGACTTGGTTTTCTCTTTCCTTCTGCCCGCGCAACCTCTTCCTCCCATAAACGTGCAAATTTGTCTCCTAATGGTCCTAGAAGAAGATATGAGATTTGAAAGAATGTCTTAAATTATAGTCTACTTTAACAAGACAAAATGGTTACTGCATACTCCAGAAAAATGAAAACTTTCGTTCGAAAATTAAAAGAATGCAAAAAAGATCGAGTTTTTTTTTCTCATACACATTATAGTAACGTATTTTGCAAAGTAATACAACTTTCGAGAACTATTGCGGGTCCGTATTTGATGTATTTTTTTTTAAAGTTTGTATACCTATGAAATATTTTCTGCAACTACTAAGTATACTAAGCATGTTTATCTACAGTTTAAAGGAAAACCTTCAAGATGTCAATAGGTTTCATCTTCTACATCATCATCATCAACAGCCTTTAATAGTCCGCTGCTAGACCCCCTTAGAAAGGAGGTTTATTTAGACGCAACATTTTAAATGTGAAAGCTTATAAATTTAGGGATTACAAGTAAACCTAATTGTTTCTGATATTAGATACACACGAATACTATTTTAGCCCAGATTACTTTAGCAAAGATACACTGGGTTATTAAGAAATATATTTGTAGTGTAAGTCTTAAACCGCTTCGTTGGCCTTGTACCGGCACTATAAGGATTTGATAGTCTGAATAGTCCATATTATTTAATTTTAATGACGATAATGAAGAGACCATTAGAACTGCATATGAATATATTTTAATGGTCGAAGTATCCTTAGTCTGTACAGTGTATTGTGCAATGTACGTGTTATAATAAGAGTTTACAAGTAATTTAACATAATAAAATGATCATTACAAGAAGTAATAAATCATAACTTTAGTTTAGAGTTTTGTAGTTTTTAACAGAATTATATAAAGAACTTAAGAAATAACAAAGAGCCTTTCTTCACTCGTTCTTGTTCGTTCCTACCACCGTCTAAGCAGTACAAATATTGAATTTGCCTTAAAGTGCCAGGATACGATATAACTTACTTACTTTAGAAACTCCATGCATAATTTGTTCTACAGAAAAATGCCCTAAGTAATAATAATAAACTTAATAAATAAATATTTGAAAACGAAGCATATCATTTTCAGATACTATTATTGTATATATTTATGCTATAGAAATTATTATATATATATTTTTTCTGTATGTATATTACATAAATATGTATTTATATATAGGTACTTTTAAATAGTACTGTATGTGTTAATTTTATATCTGTAAATGTTTTAGTTCACAGCTTCGTTTCATTGTACATATGCACCTGCCATGTCCCTTACTGAACCATCTAAAGGTTGAATGGTAGATAATGCCATGTGGCATTAAGTCCGCCTCGTGCAAAATATAATGAAGGAAGTGTAAAAATAAATAAACATTTTCAAACTCTAAATATAGCACTCATCCATGGACGTATAAAAAACCTCGGACATAGTCTCGCTAACAAAAAACTGTCGTCACCCGTAGTCGGCAATAGACATGGATATTATGGCAACTTTTGAATCATATTCTTTTGATAAAATGATTAGCTTTAGTCGCAGCAATTTCACATGAGATTGTGATTTCTTCATAGGCAAAGATAAATGGCATTAAAATCAATCAAAATTCTTTTTATCAAAAAATTACCTTTTTTTCGCGAGTCTTGCGCTAGCGTAATAATAAAGTAACAGTAGCTTTGTAAATCAGTCATGGGCGAGATGATATGATTTATCAATCATATGATTTACCTCATGTGATTGTGATTTTATTCCATCCATAGTCGGCCAGCGCGTTGTACTCGTATGTACAGGCCGGCACGCACACTTACACACATTAGACAGCCACAACACGCGTAAACATCAAGACAGCAAAACGCATTACGAAAAAATATTAATATACAAATGTTTTGAAAATGAAGTATGGAGAAATTATTGGATTCAAAAAATTAGAAATAGTAACGGTGAAAATAAAAGACAACACAATCGAACTAAAATTAGAATAGAATACAAAATAAGTCTTGTTAAATAAAATATATATATAGAGAAAAAATATTTAACGATTCGGTTTCACCACATCTCGAAATTAGAGGATATTTCAAGAACCTCTCAAAGTAAGACATTATTATAAAAAAATACTCAGCATTTGGGATATTAAACAGTAAAATTTCTAACAAATATATTTTTATTTATTGACTGTGTTTTTATTGCATAAAGAACAATGGCAGAAACATATTTACCTAAAACTTAAGCGTTTAAAAAATCGAGTCACAGTAAACTTAATCAAAAAAAATTCTATGATTTATCATTACAACCACCATGTGTTGTATAAGTCTTATAAGAGATAAGATATTTTTGAAGATTTTATTTGACCTAAGTACGTAATGTCAGATTCGCCATCACGTATAACTGACTAGGGATGCGTGGTGGCAATATTATATTATGGAACAATTAATCGATAATCGATTCTTATAGCTTTGGCTGAAATATTTACCGAAGGTTCACTATTATGATTATGAATTTGCTTCTGCCCACGTCTTCACTCGTATACTCGTACGGTAGAGTGACTGAATCAACATAATTAGAAATGATTTAAAATATTTTTGACTCTCTTTAAACGATTTTAAACACACTAAAGAAATAGAATATAGTTACGTTATTTTCCACTACACAGTGTGATGAGAAAAATACATTGTCATTGATAACGGCACATAAATAGACATACATCGATATTTTCAAAATGTCGATACGTCGTCGTTTAGTACATATCTCTTAATCTGTGGTTTAGATCCTGTCAAGTTCCGGACTCACCACGTCTGTTATTTTATTTTTGTTTAATTTAGTGTTAAACTCAAATAGATGTTATGCTTTTATTTTTTTTATTTCATATACTGTAATAATAATGAAAATAATATTTTCGGCTATCTGACACACAACGCCATCTAGTTTCAAACAAAACATTAACAATATGACGTTAGTACTTAACCTCGAAACATTCAAAATCCAATATCTTTTTTCCTAGACTTCTTTCGCAAGTAATTTTGATATGAGAATGGTCAAGAATAAATTCTCAAGTGTTAAGGATTTTTTGATTTTTAAACGCTAACATTTCAGTTCAAATAAAATTATGTATGGGGACCTGCCATTGTCCTTTGGGTAACTTGACAACCCCAAATTCATTGCAACATGAAGAGCTGCCGCTATTACGGTGCCTCAGTTTTGTCTTAGCGGGAGTTCCGTCAGACTTTTTTTATAAGTCCATGCCTACGAGCACTTAACCTCGAACGTGAAACTATCACCCGGTATTTGGGATTATCTACTTACTGCAAAATCTTATTTTAGCTGATGAAGAACAACTTATTTAAATTCACGACGACTTGGCCTTATTGAAATCGGTAATATTTTATAAGATAATTATTTTAACTTTAGAAAAATTATCAGTCTTGATTCTATTTCTGACCGTTGGCAAAGGGAGACTCGTGGCAACCAAATTTAGTGCAAAAATTACTTCGTTGTATATAGGTATATAATAATGTAAATGAAAACAATAAAGCTGTTTACTGCATTAATTATTTTTAACAATTAATGACGAGTTGTATGTTTGAGTGTATGAGTATGAGAGTATGTTTTCAGCGCCAGTTAACTAAAATAAAAAAAATAAAAGTACTTTGAATGGTTTCTATGAAAGTAGAAGTACCTATAGCAATTGAATGCAATGACGAGCGAGATATACATTATATATGCACACTGTGATAGTATATTTAAAAAATATATTTGTATCATTATTATTGAATGTTTACTTATGAAAGTAACCAAAAAGAAGCATAGCTATTGAATACAGAGCAACAAACTATATAGAATAGATGGATTACCACTATGTCACAAGGCATGTACACAAAAGGTATTGAAATTAAGTAGGTAATATCTATTTACCGTATACCCTATACGGTAAATAGATACGATATAATTAATTACCACATTTGTATAATGGTTTTAGTTTAATTATTTGATTTTTTAATTTTATTGATTACACCTTTTTTTTTCCTTGCGGAAATCCCCTCGGATACCACCTATCGGTGGCATATCGGACTCGAACCGACTAAAACCGCAGGCCGTCTCGGTTACTAATAGCCGGGGAACCAGGTATACCCTAGAAAGGAAATGTCCCTGGTGCCCCGACATACCTCGGGCCATCTACAACAACAGGTAGACGACCCCCCCGTGTGGGAACCTCATGTTCCCTCTGCTCCCTGGAAGCGAGCGCGCTTCGCAACGCGCTCGCCGCCACCCCGGCCTGCTTCTGCTAGGGTGACAGATGGCCTCACCTGTCACCCCCAGGCCTGCGCTTATGGAGGACGGAGGTCGTTCTGCGACCTCCGGCGCCTGAGTCGCCTGCGGTACCTGGCCCGTTCCCGGACCTGGCGGGCCGGGACAGTCCTAAACCTCTCCCGGTCCCGCTCCGCCGTCTCCTTCGCGAGCATAACTTGCTCGCAGAAGGAGACGGCAGAGTTCCACGCACTATCGCTCCGCACGATTATTGATTACACCTAAATTTTCTTTGAATACATTAATTCTGTTACTATGTAGTTCGATGAATGTGGACTAGTCAAACGCTTTTTGAAGAAATAAATGGACTCACGGGTTGGGTTAGTTCCCATTTATTTCTTCAAAATGAGTTTTTATTCAGCAGTTACAAGAAAACAAACATTTTTATACGTACATATTTATGTAAAAAGTATTAATGGTGTAAATAGTAATAAATAATACATTAGGTTACGTATTTCTAATGGTCTTCATAACCGCTCATCCCAAAACAGAAGTATGTTAATTCTGTAGGGTGTAGACTCACAAAAGTGGTGTACCCAGCAGGTACTGCAGTTTCTGCTCGCTTGTTTAGTCAATAAGTATACTGCTTGCAATATTTAAAGACAACTCTAGTACTTATTACTATTATTAATAGCAAAGATAGCATACAAGTAAACAGTGATGAAAAGGTGGTGTCAACATATAAGTATTCAGATTTTCATTCCGGTTCTCTATAATAACAATATTCTGGAATGTATTACC